GACGATGGAGGCAGAGATTGGGATGGTGCACCTGCGAGCCAAGAACGCCGAGGACTGTGGGCAGCCCCAGAAGCCAGGAGGGAGACATGGGACAGATTCTCCCTCAGAGCCTCCGGGAGAAACCAGCCCTGCCAACACCTTGATTTTGGACTCCCAGCTACCAAAACCGGAGGAGAATAAACTTCTGCAGTTAAGAGCTGCCCAGTTTGTGGTGCAGTATCCCTAGGAATCTATATGGTGGTTTTGCATGTCAATAAAGGAGAGGAGCATAAGAAAGTGTGTGTGTGTGTGTGTGTGTGTGTGTGGGTGTGTGTGTGAATGAGAGAGAGAGAGAAAGAGAGAGAGAGAGAGAGAGAGAGAGAGAGAGAGAGAGAGAGAGAGAGGGAAGAGGGGAGAGAGAGAGGGAGAGAGAGAGAGAGAGAGAGAGAGAGAGAGAGAGAGAGAGAGAGAGAGAGGAGAGAGTGGGAGAGGGGGGGAGAGAGAGGAGAGAGAGTGCATTTCTAGGAGTTTATGACACTTGCTGGCAGAATGTTTTCTAGGCTGCCTCTTGTGAACAGACACACTATCTGATCACTTGTCCCCTCCCTGCGCTTCCCCGCAAACGCCTATGGTCATGGACACAATGGATATCAATATTTAATCATTCAATTGGCATGTTTTTCTATGTTTATTTTTCAGTTGCCTGCTCGACCCTCTTTTGTTTATTTTGTTAAGTCGCCTGGCTTAGAGTGTTCACCCCCAGAGGGCAAGATGCTTATCTTTCTAAAATGTGCTCAGAAGGCCTGCTGACTCATGCCCCAGACTCTCATACACGTATTATTATTATTGTTATTTTTAATTTATTTTAGAGAGAGGAAAGGGGAGGGATAGAGAAAAGCATTGATGGCTGCCTCCCATACACGCCCGAGCAGGGATGGCACCGTAACCTTTTGGCGTAGGGGAAGATGTTCCAACTAGGCCACGCGCAGGAACACACATTATTTTTGAAGGGGATTGTTTTGATTGTGTCTTCTAAGTTTTTCCCTTTAACTTTTCTACCACATCAGTGCACAATCTGCATTACTGAAATAACTTATGCAAAGTAATATGAAACAATGCACCACAGACTAAATATGAGTGAATTTTAAATGATTAAAGTTATTTTATAAAACATTTTTTTCTACTGAGAAATAAAGGAGAAAATAATGATAGCCATTAATGCAGCTTTTTAAAGTGTAACTTTGATAGTACAAATGTGAACACAAAATGGTACAATCCAGGATTTACGTTTTCAGTGGTCTTTCCCCAACTGTAAGTTTGGTCCCTAAAAAACTCTGAGGAATTTAAGACTTTAAGGAAAAGCACAAAGAGAGGAACAACAACCATCACTGAACCTATAGGAAATCTTACAATATTTTTGCATTTACGCCCTGGCTGGTGTGGCCCAGGTGGTTGGAGAGTCATCCCTTGCAAAGACAGATCAGTGTTTGATTCCTGGTCAGGGCACATACCTAGGTTTTGGTTCAGGCTTGATCCCTGGTGGGGGTGTGTACAGGAGGCAATCAATGATGTTTCTCTCATCAAAGTCTGTCTGTCACTAAAAAAAAATAAATAATTAAAACATATCCTCTGGGAGGAGATATATATTTTTTACATTCACTAAGTGATAAAGACACACTCTGAATAAAGACCATGTCAATGATATTTATAGGCCTTCACATAGTAAGAATGGGCACTGTACTATGAGTTCTTATTCACGCCACTTGTTTGCCAGACTCTAAGAATTTCATTTGCTTAAAGTTCATGTGAGATTTTTTGTTGTTGTTGTAGATAAAAAACCCTTACTACCTACATTTTAAATATTTGGTATATATTTCTGATTATATTACCTGTGCTTTGAAAGACTGTATTATTGTAAGCAATGTAATATAGAAAGTGAACGTTCCTGTAATCCACTCTTCCGAGATGACCAAGTTTGGTACATATCTACCATATCGGAAAAAAATGCCTATTTAACGCGTACTGGATAGAAAGTAGACATTCCTTTTTTAATTTTAATTTTTCCCCAAATGCCCCTGCCTTTGTAGCTTTATAATTTGGAGGCACCTCAGCTACCTGCCTTCTGGATTTGTGGCCTCAGAGCTGTGTAATTTGGATAATGGAGCTAGAAAAACCTTTGAAAACCTTTGTTGAACAATTATTTCTTCATCTGCATCCTGAGCTTTATTTTATTTGTTCTGCCTGTGATAACTGCATGCGGATGAGCCTACTCTCCTTTTTAAAACAGATCCCAGGGACTTGTCTGCTCACACTGCCCAAAGGAATAGACTGAAGGCTGACCTACTCATCAACATCTTATCTTTCCAGAAGCATCACTGCACAAACCTCTACTTTACCCCTGTGTTCATTCCACCCACTTTCTGTCCTTAGTCCTCACTTGCTTCCTTTTACTTATTTACTTTTATAAGGGTCTTGAAATATACCTTTTAAATATTTAAAACAAAGAGATCAACCGAAGGACTTGTATGCATGCATATAAGCATAACCAATGGACACAAAACTCTGGAGGGGTGAGGGCATGTATGGAAGTGGGGTGGGGGGCAATGGTAAAACATGTACACCCATAATACCTTAATAAAAAATGAAAAAAATAAACATTTAAAACAACATTTTTATTGATTTCAGAGGGGAAGGGACAGACAGAAATATAGAAACATAGTGATGGGAATCATTGATCAACTGCCTCCTGCACATCCCTCACTGGGGATTGAGCCTGTAACCTGGGCATGTGCCCTGACCGGAATTGAACTGTGACCTCTTGGTTCATGGGTCAATGCTCAACCATTGAGCCATGTTGGCTGGGATATACCTTTTTAAAAAATATATTGATTAGAGAGAGAAAGAAAAAAAAAACATTGATTGGTTGGTCCATTTATTTATGCATTCATTGGTAGATTCCAGTATGTGCCCTGCCTGGGGATAGATAGCCTTGGCTTAATGGGATGAGCTCTAACCACTGAACAACCCGACCAAGGCCCGAGCAGGAGTGACTTTTAAAATACCTCTCCAGCAGAAGTGACTTGTAGTTTGCACACACTGACACTTAAATTCCCCCAAGTGTTGAAGAAGTGAACTTAATTATCCATGTGCATAATTTTATGCACATTTGGAAATGGCTGTTCTAATTTCAACATGAAACCCAGATAAACATTTGGATCAATAATCCAGTTTTTCAAAGTTTAAAGTGTCAAGTGTAGAAAATATGAAAATGGGTAATAATAAACTTTAAGTATGCCACTTCATACATTTATCATTTGTCACAGATATGTCACATTTTTATGCTTAATAGACACTTTTAATTTATAGTTTGCATTTACCAAGTGAGCTTCTCCCCAGGCTCAAAATTCCCTTGGCTGTAAATTTAGTCAACTTGGAAAAGCCAGTAGGGAATAAGCCCTGAAGGAATTCAAATGACTCTCTTATTAGAGTCGTCATTTCAGCCATTTCAAAAAATGATGCTTTAATCAGAATAGACTGGAAATCAAATTGTGTATTTTGCTCAAATAGGAAACACAATTTAAAGTTTATTCTGGCTATTGGGAGGAAGGGAAGGTGAGCAACATAGCTGGAAAAACCAACACAAACTGTGTTGTGAGGATGAAAACAAATAATAGGAAGTGCCCAGTGTGTCCAGCCTACAGTTCATGCTTATTAAATGAGTTTACCCTAATTCTTTTGCAGATGGTTTGACAGGGTATTTCCCCCTCAATTCAAACCAAAGATGTTTTCAACTACCACGCTAATCTGCACAGAAATCTCATAGTCCAGTTGCCTCCCTGTTCAACAAGAAACTCAGAATCCTACATTTGTAGCCAGCCTTCCTTCCAGAGACCGCACGTGTCAGATCTCTGATTCTAGCCCCGTTTTTCTTTTGCCATGATTAAGTACTTGATATTTTTTTGTCTGTCCATCACAGCACATTGAACATTAAAATCAAGCTGCTGGGCTTGCACGGGCTTATATCTCCCAGCATTTTAGTCCACATTGCCACCGTTATTTTTGTGTGCCAGCTGTATCAGCCCTTTCTGGATCATTTTGTTAAAATGACGTTGTAATAACAAAACAGTCGGTGGAACAGGATTATCTCGAAGGTGCAGCGCATCTCTCCTTCGCAGACACGCGTTTCAACAGGAGAACCCGGGACGGGGCCGGCGGAGCCTGTCCGGGTCCGGGCGCGCGCGGCGGCAGCCTCCGCCTCCCTCCTCCTCCCCCGCGGCCGCCGCGCACGCCCGGACCCGGACCCGGATCCCGGATTCTCCGCTCCGCAGCTTGGCGCTCTCCCGAGCCGGAGCCGGAGCCGGAGCCGCGGCGTCAGAGGAGGAGGCCGCGGGGGCGGGGGAGGGGCAGTGAGGTCAGCGGCGGCGGCGCGGCCGGGGCGGCGCATGCGCGGAGCCAGCCCCGTGAGTGGCAGCGGCGGCGCGCGGGGGGCGGCGGGCCGGGGTGGGGGAGGGGGCGGGGGCGGGAGGAGGGGGAGCGCGCGGCGGCTGCCGTGTGTGGGCGAGACGACGGCGAGGGTGCGAGGTCTGTGGTGCTGGGCGCCCGAGCGACGCCGGCGCGGGCCTCGCGCGACGGCCACGGTGTGTGGTGCACGCACACCCGCAAACTTCCTCCTCCCCGGCCCGGGAGGCGGGCGCTGAGGGCCGGCGCCGGCGGGCCCGGAACCCACCACAACAACTGGAGCAGCTGTCAAAACTTCGCCGCCGCCGCCCGGCCTGACGCGGCCGCGGGGGAGGGGCAGCCGAGGGCGCGACCCCCGCCCGCCCGGCTCCCGTCCGCCCGCCCGCGTCCCCTCCCCGCCGCGGCGCCTGGGGGCGGGGCGCGGGCGGAGACCCCGCCGCCGCCCCTCACCCTCCGCGTCCCCGCCGCGCCCGCACCGGCCCCCGCCCGGCCCCGCCCGCGCCCGCACCTCCCCGCCCGCGGCCCCTCCCTCGCGCCGCCCGCCCCGCCCGCCGCCCCCCGCCCGGCCCCTGCGCGCCGAGCTGCGCGCGCCCGCGCCTATGTGTGTGAGTGCGTGTCCTGCTCGCCCCATGCTGCCGCCGCGCCCGGTACCTGCCGCCGCGCCCGGGGCTGCGGGAGATGCGAGAGGCTGAGCCGCGGAGGAGGAACCCGAGCGGCGGCGGCGGCGGCCGCGGCGGCGGCGGGAGGAGCCCCCCAGGAGGAGGACCGGAATCCATGTGTCTTTCCTGGTGACTAGGATGTCGTCGGAGGAGGACAAGGGCGCGGAGCAGCCGCAGCCGCCGCCACAACCCCCCGAGGAGCCGGGAGCCCCGGCCCCGAGCCCCGCAGCCGCAGACAAAAGACCTCGGGGCCGGCCTCGCAAAGATGGCGCTTCCCCTTTCCAGAGAGCCAGAAAGAAGTAAGTTGAGTGTGAGCCTCCAGGCCGGGAGCCAGCCGCCGCGCCGGGCCGGAGCTGTCACCGCGCGCCCGGCCCGCCGCCCCCGCGCCCGCCGCCCGCGGTGGGGGTGGGGCCGCCGCGCGCCCCCGGCCGGCGCCCGCCCCGCGCCCCGCGCCCCGCGGCCTCCCGCACCCCCGCCGCCGGGGCGGCCGCCGCCGCACTTTACTTTTTAGTTGTTCCGGGCGCCGCGCTCGCCGGAGCCTCTCTCGGGCGACCCGTGTCGCGGACGCCGCCCGGGCTCCCCGGCTTTTAAAAAGCAAACACGGCGCACACCTGGCGGAGCCGGCGAGTTTATTGTCAACTACAAAGCGCGCCCGGGCCGCCGGCCGAGCTGTCAAACGCCGCGGCCAGGTGGTCCCCGGCGGGGGGCGGGGAGGGGGGAGCGGGGGCGGGCGCGCCGGGCGCCGCTCTCCTTTGTCACCTCTAACTTTCCTGGCCCCCAGACCTGCGCTCTCCTTCCTTCTCCCTCTACTAGGAAGTCGTTTGACTTTTGCCTCCCCTCCCCCCCGGAGCCGCACTGCCCGGCGCCCGGTGCGGGCTGCGCGTGCGGGAAGTTTGGGGAGCGGCTGGCCGCGCCGAGCACGTTCGCTCCCGGGACGCGGGGGAAGCGCTGCCGGACCTCCGTGGAGGTGGCCGGGCGGGGGACAGCCTGATGGCTCTGAGCGCGCCCCGGCACCGTGGACTCCATTGCTCGCGGTGGCTGCACGGCAACTTTGCCTGGAAATGAAGACTCGCGTTTTGGTGCCAGGGAGTCGCTCAGCCCTTGTGACTCCTGAGGGTGCCACGGAAGGTCTGCGGCTGCTCCGAAGTTGTAGGATCGTGTGCGTCGCGTATTCATTTCATTGTACGGTGGTCTACCCAACTGTTGGCAGTGGAAGGGTAGGGTGCACGGATGGAGGAAGGCTGCGCATTTATGGATACCCTTGTGTTGTTGTCCGGGCGAATTCATTTAGTAATATTGTTGCGTTTGCTGATACAGAGTTAAAATAGTAGTGTTAAGTGAGGCGGAGCAGAGCGGGGTTATGGGAAGCTCAGGAAGCTTTCGACTGGAGTGCTTCCCCCTCTGCTTTCCTTTGGCTGTAAAGACGACTCAGGGCCTTCATCTTGCCTCCATATTTTATTGCCAGCTCTCACCGAGCTGTGACAGATCGTCTGGAAACAAGTACAAGATGTACATATTATTGCATTAGCTTCTTTGTGATACCGAGTTAGGGTTTGGTATGCCATTTGTTTTGTAATGTCTGCTGTAAAATCCCATTATTACTCCTGTATTAATTGAAATTTGGAGAAGGAAGGTAGAGTTTTGAATAACTTTAAACTTCTTTGCTACTTTTCTTATCCAAAGCAACACATATTAAGCCATATTAGGGTTTTAATTTGATTGTTTCCCATTTCGTTATTTGGAAAGCACTTTTTGGCGTCTTTCTGAACATTAATTTGGGATTATTGTATGTTTTATGTTTGTTTTTAAGTTTTTACTCTAGAAAGAGCACACCTATCTGTGTCAAGCCCCTCTTCCATACAAATGGCAAGTGTGTGGGGGCACAGGCGCTTTCCCTGAGATGGAAATGAGCTCACTTTTATTGCAACTTCCAGTACAGCAGAAGGAAGGCTGATTTGGGGTATTACAACTTCACTACTTTAATTTCCTTTACTATTTTAATTTCTACAGAATATACCCATCTAACAGCATGGGAAATGTTTAGAACAATTTTAACTCTCAAGAGAGTTTTCTCTTTTAGATTTGAAAACGGGTAGGAAATTAACTTGTGGTAACTTGGATGGTCCCAAACTTTTTAGTGAATTCTTTAAAATTAGGTACCTTTTGAAGAGGATGGAATCTCCAATTGTTTTAAAGAGAAATATAAATGGAAACCACTGAGTGAAGTGAAAGCAAAGAGAAGGGTTTTCAGTTGGGTAGTTCTCACAGTATTAGGGTTCGTACTTGCAGAACAGACCCTGCATTCCATTTGGTATTGAAGACCCTGAAAGTGAAACTGATAGGTAGCAAATGTAAATTGGATTGTAAATGCTAAAAGTATTTGCAAATTAATTATGTAAGAAATTAAAATTAATATTCTTTGTGAAATGCGCTGGAAATAGAGGTTTTTAAATTGTCAGCGTTATTTTATTTTATTTTTTAAAATATATTTTATTGATTTTACACAGAGAGGAATTGAGAGGGACAGAGAGTTAGAAACGTCGATGAGAAACACCGACCAGCTGCCTCTTGCATACCCCCCACTGGGGATGTGCCCGCAACCAAGGTACATGCCCTTGACCTGAATCGAACCTGGGACCTTTCAGTCCGCAGGCCGATGCTCTATCGACTGAGCCAAACCGGTCCCGGCTGTCAGTGTTATTTAGATAATCACTAAGTGGGTTGTTTTCTGCAGAATATGGGTGCATTATGTCACATTAAATTTTTTTTTTTATTAAATATATTTTATTGATTTTTGTACAGAATGGAAGGGAGAGAGATAGAGAGTTCGAAACATCAATGAGAGAGTCAACGATGAGCTGCCTCCTGCACACCCCCCCCCCCCCCGGGGATATGCCCGCAACCAAGGCACATGCCCCTGACCGGAATCGAACCCGGGGCCCCTCAGTCCCCAAGCCGACGCTCTATCCACTGAGCCAAACTGGTCCGGGCTAAAATTTTAATCTTTATTGTTGAAAGTGTTACATATGGTCCCCCCTTTCCTCCCCCAATTGATTCCCTCTACTTCTCCCCTCTCCCAGGCATCATGACAATTTTTAAACAATGGATTTGTCTGTTTGTCTTTGGATTAGAAAAAGTACTGCTAATTATACTTTCTTTGAGTTTGAATTTTTAATAATTAGGTAAACAAATTAAACATCTTACTTTATAATAGATAACTTTTTGACAGATATTGCCTCAGGCTTATTTAATATTAGACAATTTTAATGTTTTATCAAATTAAAACACAGGCTATATAGTTACTGGTTTTACATTATTATTACTTTAAAATTATGTTTACTACTTAAAATCAAGAATTTTGAACTGAAGCTATTAACCTTATAATTTGAAAAGTAGATATATTATATAAGTAGGAATTTCCTGTAGTACAAAAGTCAAGTGGAAGAGTGAACTTTACATTTGTATAAAAGTTCTTCTTAACAGTAAGGTCTGTCTAATTATTTGGTTATTTGAAGTAATTTTTATCAGAGATACAGGTGTTTATTGGTGAAGAAGTTCCTGCCACAGAGTAGACAACATTCTAGCGGTCTGATTACTTTTCTATTAATATTAAGGAAACTCTTCTGAAAGCTTTGCTGTTTTTTCTTTCTCTTCTCTAGAATATATAAGGTAAGCCAAGAGCATATTCTATCATATTTCTTTATTGTTAACCCTCACTGAGGATATTTTTCCATTGATTTGTAGGGACAGTGGGGGAGAGAGGGTAAGACAGAAACATTGATGTGAGAGAAACACATCGATTGGTTGCCTCCTTTATGAGCCCCACCAGGTACAAGGAACGTGTCTCTGACTGAAATCTGAAATCGAACCCCGGACCCTTTGGTCTGCAGGGCGACACTCCATCCACTGAGCCAAACTGAATAGGGCTCTACTGTATTTCTTACCAAGTCAACAGAGTTGATATGAAGGATGCGATGGGCCTTGGGGTAGCACAAAAGCAGCAGGTGGTGGGGATAGCCTTTCTGAGGCACTGTTCTTTTTTTTTCAAAGTAGCAATATCTTTATTTACAAAATATACAGTTTCACAGAAACAGCCAAAGCCAATGAGAGGGGCCTGCTTTTGGGGAGACATCTTTCCCTCCTCACATCATCAGCCACCAACCAAGAGCCCTAGCTGGGCCATGTGAGGCACTGTTCTTGACCCTCTTTACATGAACTCTTTATACCCTGTACCTACAGTAGGTCAATTACTATTATTACAGGCCACCTTGAAGATTCTTGCTGCAGAAAAATTAGGCAAACTAATGCTGTCATATAAGGGATCAGCAAATATATCATAGCTGGGCTGCCGGTGATGTGAGGCCCCTCCCCCAACAGGTTTTCTCATTTCTGTAGCCGTGAACTTGAAATAGTGACTAAAAAAGCTGATGGGCCCGGTCTACGTATTCAGTGGTTGAACGACAGTGCAGGATCTGGTTCAATTCCCCGGTCAGGGAACATGTGTGGGTTTTGGGCTCTATTCCCACTAGGGGCTGTGTAGGAGGCAGCTGATAGGTGAAGTTTCTCTCATTAATGTTCCTATCTCTCCCTTTCCTTTCCAATTTCTCTAAAAATAAAAATAAAAACATTTTTAAAAAACTCTGTTGCACAGTATAGTTGAGAGATATTGTTATTTATGCTTTTTGAGATAATACAACTATGTAGTCTTTATGATAGTAATTCTTTTTATTTTATTTAAAAAATTAGATAAATGGACATTTTCAGTAATTACTGGCCTCTGGAACTTAGTGGGCACTGAAATGTTTTAATTTATTTGAAAAAGCTGGTCCAGGAACCGCATGTGTTGTCTAACCTGACCCTGCTCCTGTTTGTCTTATTCATGCAATCTCTAGTCTTTGAAAATATGGTGTGAGTTTTTCTAAAATCCTCACGTGAGGCTGTTTTTTCATTGATTTTTAGAGTGGAGGAGAGAGGGAAAGACAGAATTATAAATGTGAGGGAAACATCGCGGTTGTCTCTTGCACGAGCCCTGGCCCTGGGGAGCCTGCAAACCGAGGTTTGTGACCCTGACAAGAACTGAACCCAGTACTCTTCAGTTCAAAGGCTGACTTTCTCTCCACTGAGCCAAAAACGGCTAAGGTGAGAATACAATGTCTTTAGTCAAATATAGAATTTCTAATAAGTATATTGGTGGTTATTAATATGTAAACTTGATAAACAAGATTCTCATGTAAATATAAGTCTCGAAAGCTTACTTTCCCATTCTGAAAGTAGTGCTTTAATACATTTTCCCATTATATCAGTTAATTCCACCATGCCAGATGTGTAGTCAGTTTGCACAATGACCAGGCACACTGCTCCACCCTTACCTTTCCCCTACCTTTTTTGCAAAATTGCACCTTCTTCCCCCCCACAATCAGATTTCCTCTGGGCAGATAGTACTTGTTCAACCTTGTGTTCGCCAGCCACTTACTGTGGTGCCTGAGGGGCTTCCACGGAGCCACCCGTCCTTCCGAACGGGACCGGCCAGTTTTTATTCCAGAGAGCCTGCCTGCCTGCCCTCTCTCTCTGTGTGCTTTCCTGTGGGGGTCTGTGAGATCCCTGCTGGGATTGGCTAAATTTTTAATCTTTGAGATGTTTGGACTGAACATAGCTAATATAGAATAAACTTTCTGGTCACTGTGTGTGTGTTCCTTTTTTCTTCATTGTTTTGGCCCATCTTTTCATGTCAATAAACATATTACTTCTCTCTTAAATTTTTTTTTATCATGTTTGTACTAAAGTGGCTATTTTCAGAACTTCTTGGCAATATAAATTGCAGAAGTTATTGAGTGAAGTAGGGGTGATGTCTTTTTTTTTTTCTTGTGATGGCATAAGCTTGTGGTTAGTGTAGAGTCTACATTGTAGACCAATCTTGAATTAGTAATTGGAAGTGTCATTTTCTCTATTTGCAGAATTTGAAGGACTTCAGAACACAAGAGAAGCAGGAATGACACAGCTTTTTTTGTACTTTGTCTAGAAAAAAACCTGTAAAAGATAGGAAAATTGTTAGACTTTGCTTCTGCTGTTAATTTTTGTGGGAGCAGTAGCTATGTATGCTGCACAAATGCTGAAATTGTTTAAGAAGTTTCATTCACGTTATTCACAGAGCATGTATGTAATATGCTGGGATGTGGACAGTCAGCCTGGATGAAGGTTCACTGCGGCCAAGAGGGGTCTGCAAAGATTTGGAGGAAGCAGTACTTGCATTAGACCTTGAAGGATCAACAGGATTTAGCCTAGTAGAGTGAGAAGAAAGTGAGCGTTGGAGGTGGGTAGCAATGTGATTAAAATTATTGAGGACTGAGGAAAGTGTTAAAGGTGTTTTCTTAGAGTGTGACTAGAACAAGAGGCTTACTATGGGGATTAGGGCCAGGCTGTGATGGTTCGTGCATGCCACCCTAATGAGTTTGTGCTTTATGGTCCCAGAGTTATAAACTGTTTACAAGGACCAGGTAGGTAATTGAAATGAGTTGCTTGCGGCTTGTAAGATCCTGAATGACAGCTGACACTGAGGCCTGTGGGGAAAATGGTGAATGAACACGTGGAGAGTCCCAGGAGCCCCTGGGCCTTGCCTATGTGCAACCCATAGACAGTTTTGCCTGGTGGTTGCCATGTGAGATTGGGAGATGTTGCTGCTAGATACTCTGGTTTTAGGTGAAATCTCTTGATTTTTAAGTATTTTCAGGTAATTAAGATCCATGGCACTATTTGGGACTGGGTACACCTTGTGGGCTAGGTTTATCTGTGGCCCGTGGGTGTGCTGCAGGTCTTCAATCCATGTTTGATGCCCCAGGTTATTTTATTGTGTAAATTAATGCTTTGAAAGCAGATATTTGGAGTCTTCCTAAGGACAGGATGCTATTAAATTACTTGGTATTCATTACTTTATTGAATGAAGGTATCTAATACTTGATTTGATGATAGGTATTTTAGGAAAACCACCCTGATGTTAATATGCGGAGAGGACTTACCTGGAGGCAGAGAGAAAAGGCTCTTGCAGTAGTCACAGAATGAGGTAATCAGGGCAGAGGGTAGACTGTTGGTAGTATGGTTGGAAAGGAACAGGGATTTCAGTCAATGCAGAGGAGGAATTTCAAAGTACCTGACATAGAGGTCTAGAGCAGTGTTTTTCAACCTTTTTTGGGCAAAGGCACACTTGTTTCATGAAAAAAATCACGAGGCACACCACCATTAGAAAATGTTAAAAAATTTAACTCTGTGCCTATATTGACTATATATAAAGTAATTCTCTTGAATAGGAATCAAATAAACACAAAGAAAGTATTTTATAATTACTTTATTATGAAATATTAAGTAAACAAAATAGTGAAAAATTATAAAATTCTTGTCTTGTCTGCACTTACGGCACACCAGGCAACATCTCGCGGCACACTAGTGTGCCGCGGAACAGCGGTTGAAAAACGCTGGTCTAGAGGATGGAAATATCTGGGAGTACTGGGATGTAGAGTTGGAGTTTAGGAGGCAGATTAGGATAGGCGATTAAAGATGTGATTTATCTGAAATCTGAGAAAATGGATAGTAGAAAATAGTAAAAGGATTAAAATATTTACCCTTGAGAGATAGGGGTAAAGGGACCCAAAAAGTCTGTAAAAATGAGAAAGGAAATCAGAATATAATTCCCAGTATAAATGGGCAAGTATGCACATATGTACAAGGATGCTCATGGCAGCTGAGACAAGTAGAAAAACAGTAGAGAAGAATTGGTAACAACAAAATACCCATCAGCGGACAGCCCTGTGGTTTTTGTCAGGGCAGAGGGGTAGAGCAGACCTGTGGGTACCCAAGTCTGTGATAACTTGCTGATTTGAGGAAGCAGTTTCCAAGAGTTGCAAAGCTGTAAGTTTAGAACTATTTTTTTTTTTAAAAAGCCCAAACTATATATTTTGTGCATAGAAAATGATTTGGAAGGATACATAATAAACATGAGTACTTCTGGGGAGTATATATCGATACTTTCGATGCAATTTTTTTATTTTTATTTATTTATTTATTTATTTATTTATTTTTCGATGCAATTTTTTTAAAAAAATACTTTTATTCAAGTATAAGTACAATCTTAGTGGTTTATATTAGTTTCAGATGTACAACATAGTGATTCAACATTTTTATATCTTACACTGTGAATTTTTTTCCTTCTTTTTTTTAATCCTCACCCGAGGATATTTTTCCACTGATTTTTAGAGAGTGAAAGAGAGAGAAATATCAACGTGAGAGAAACGCATGGATTGGTTGCCTCCTGCATGAGTCCCGACCAGGGCCCCTGCCAGGGAGGAGCCTGCAACCGAGGTATGTGCCCTTGGCCCAAATCAAACCTGGGACTCTTCAGTCTGTAGGCTGACACTATTCACAGCCAAATCAGCTAGGGTTCGATGTAATTTTAAAGCAGCCAATACATGGCTCAGTGGTGAAGCATTGACCTATGAACCAGGATGTCAGGGTTCAATTCCCAGTCAAGACACATACATGAGTTGTGGGCTTGATCCCTAGTAGGGGGCTTGCAGGAAGTAGCCAATCAATGATTTGCTTGCATCATTGATGTTTCTATCTCTCTCCTCCTCCTCCTCCTTCCTTCCTGAAATCAATAAAAATATAAAAAAGCTAGGTGAGCCGAAACCAGTTTGGCTCAATGGATAGAGCGTCGGCTTGGGGACTGAAAGGTCCCGGGTTCGATTCTGGTCAAGGGCATGTACCTTGGTTGCGGGCATATCCCCAGTAGGGGGTGTGCAAGAGGCAGCTGATCGAAGACTCTCATTGATGTTTCTAACTCTATCTCTCTCCCTCTCTGTACAAAATCAATAAAATATATTAAAAAAAAAAAAAAAAAAGCTAGGTGATTTTTGAACAATGTGGGGATTGGGCACAAACTCCCTGCACAGTAAGAAGATCTAAAAAGAAATTCTCTTCATTGATTTGAGACAGAGAGGGAGAGGGAGAGAGAGAAACATCAGTATGTTCCACTTAATTATGCATGCATTTGCACTCATTGGTTAATTCTTACATGGTGTCTTACTAGGGATCGAACCCACAACATTGGTGTATCAGGATAATTCTCTAATCCAGCGTTTTTCAACCGCTGTTCCGCGGCACACTAGTGTGCCGCGAGATGTTGCCTGGTGTGCCGTAGGTGCAGACAAGACAAGAATTTTATAATTTTTCACTATTTTGTTTACTTAATATTTCATAATAAAGTAATTATAAAATACTTTCTTTGTGTTTATTTGATTCCTATTCAAGAGAATTACTTTATATATAGTCAATATAGGCACAGAGTTAAATTTTTTAACATTTTCTAATGGTGGTGTGCCTCGTGATTTTTTTCATGAAACAAGTGTGCCTTTGCCCAAAAAAGGTTGAAAAACACTGCTCTAACCAACTGAGCTACCAGGCAGAGCTATATATATTATATACTACGTTCTTACAGTAAAGTAAACTAGAGAAAAGTGTTAAGAAAATCATATGGAAGAGCAAATAAATACATTTACAGTATTTATTGAAAAAAATTCAGTATAAGTGGACCTGTGCAGTTCAAACTCATGTTGTTAAAGGGTCAACTGTAATTTAAAACTGTAGTCTTGTTTTACAAATGAGAAAACCAGGTTGTGGGGACACTACCAATTCTTGAGCCAAGATGTTCTGAATTCAAATCATGGGTCCATCACTTAGTAACTGTGTTTGACTTTGGGAAGTTACTTGACTCTTTTGTGCCTTTATGACCTCATCTGCAAAATGGGCATACGAGTACACTCAATTTTGGATGGTTGTGAATTTATATGTGTCTAGAATTCAGAACAGTGGCACAAACTAAGTGCTATTAAGAGTGCTTTTTAAGAATTTGCTGTTATTGTTTTTGCTGTCATCAATTATCAATCAAGTGTTTGCCTGGAATCATGGGACCTGTTAGTGACAAACATGTGATAAGATACCAAACTCTCTAAAAATGCCATGGCATTAAAATAAGGTAATAGTTATTGGGATTCCGGAGTAAATAAAGATTTCCTTTCTATACAGCTGTCCTTAATAAAGAGAAAAATAAGATAAAAAATCTAGGTCAGCCTTAACTGGTTTGGCTCAGTGGATAGAGCATCTGCCTGCGGACTGAAGGTTCCCAGGTTCGATTCCAGTCAAGGGCATGTGCCTTGGTTGAGGGCATATCCCTTGTAGGGGGTGTACAGGAGGCAGCTGATTGATGTTTCTCTCTCATTGATGTTTCTAACTCTCTATCCCTTTCCCTTCCTCTCTGTAAAAAAAAAATTAATGAAGTATATTAAAAAAAAAACACCTAGGTCAGCAGAAATTTCTATAGAATATTTCATATTATGAGTAACATATGAAAAGCAACCACAGTAATTCTATAGAAGCTATATGTATGGTAATGTTATTACAGAATCATTTCAAAAATTTTCATTACCCAGAGTTATTAATGCTTTCATAGTGATCTTTGGTTAGGTCTCTCTAAATTAGACTTACAATAAAGTGGGGGTTTTTATTTTTCAAAGAATATATTTTTATTGATTTCAGAGAAGGAGGGGAGAGAGAGAGAGAGAGAGAGAGAGAGAGAGAGAGAGAGAGAGATACATCAATGATGAGAGAATCATTAATTGGCTACCTCCTACACGCTCCTCACTGGGGATTGAGCCTGCAACCTGGGCATATACCCTGACCAGGAATTGAACCTTGGCCTCCTGGTTTCAAAGGTCGACACTCAACCACTGAGCCATGCCAGCTGGGCTGTAATGTGGTTTAAAGTGACTTTTTAAATGTCTTTTATGCTTAGGTCACTTTTAATTCATTTATGCAATCCATTTACATCAGAAGTAACAGTTGATGGTCATAGTGAAGTCTGTGTGTTTTGTTTTTAATTCCATCTTAAGTGAAGCCTAGCAAAAACTTCCTAATTTCCTGATCTTTGGGATCCTGATGACATCATGTACCTTGTGTTTGGAGTAAGCACCTAGTTGCATATAAAGTAACAATGTACTTAAAGAGTTATAGAATTTAAAGACTAGCTGAGAATTCTGAGAACGTTTAGTCTATCCCCTCATTTTATAGGTTGCTGAGCCCTAGAGAGATTACAGCATGCCTAGAGAGATTAAAGTCATACATCAGGTGTTAACTATCGGTAAATAAAGGGGAGGAGGTAGTCTGTTACATTGGTGACTCCCAAGGAGCGAAGCTACTGGACTCATGCTATTGAACCCGGTATCTTGGCTAGCTCTGGGACTCACTTTGCCCAATAGAATGCAGCAGAAATGACACTGTGCTAAGTTTTGGGGCCACGTTTTAAGAAGGCTGGAACTTCCACTTTTGCAAGCTTGGAGCCCTGTGTTGTCATGTAAGAAGCTAGATCATACCCTGCTGAGGAATCCACGTGGAATAAGGAAACAGGGAGGCCCAGCTATCCCCATGTCCCAGCTTAGTTCTGCCCGAAGTCAGGTGACCACCAGTAAGATCAGCTGAGGAGCCCTAGCCTTCGAGCCTTGCCCAGATTGCAAAATTAGGAATAAATGAAATTGTGTGGTTTACATTTGTTAGTTTTTATGGTGGCTTGTTAAAAAGCTATATAGATTGAAAGCAGATGATTTGGGGAATTAAGGGATTCTGAGAACAAAAATATATTTGAGATGTGTATGATAAAAATCATCATTTTTCATCTTTTACTGAGATAGTTCAATGATGTTGTCCCCTACCCTCTGTTCCTCATTTCACTAAAGGCATTTTGAAATAGAGATGGTCATTGCATCCACATCACATTAAAAAACAAAAAACAAAAAAAACACACAAAAAAAACCAATGGCCAAAGACAATCCCTTTCTTTAAAACACTCTAAGAAATACCATAGGCTTCAGCTTGTGTGTAATTGGCTGGAATGTAGCCATATGACCATATGTAGCTGCAAAGGAGGCTGGGTTTGTAGTCCTTAGCCTAGACCCGTGGTCGGCAAACTGTGGCTCGCGAGCCACATGCAGCTCTTTGGCCCCTTGAGTGTGGCTCTTCACAAAAATTCTACGGCCTGGGAGAGTCTGTTTTGAAGTAGTGGCATTAGAAGTTTAAGTTTAAAAAATTTAGCTCTCAAAAAAAATTTCAATAGATGTACTATTGATATTTGGCTCTGTTGATTAATGAGTTTGCCGACCACTGAGCTGCCTAGAATAGATTTAGAGTGTGATTACCAAGGGTGGGTGTGGACATTGCAGAAGTATCCAACAGTCTTTACCATGTGGAGTAAGGAAACAGAGCAACCGGTTTATCTCCATAGGTCTAGTGAGAGAGATGAATTTGAACACTGGAGATGTAGATTGATTTTATATTGAGGGCCAGTCCCAATTCAGTGATAGTGATTGCTTGCAATGCTCTGTTGAACCAGAGTTCCTAATTTTTTGGCTCCAGCAGGGTAAGGAAGTAGTAGAAGTATTTGTTTTTGGGTAAATATGGGAGTGATAACATGCTGCCATTTTCATATTATCCCATGTACACCTTAGCTTTTTATTATGTACAGTTACTTTACTTCTAAAAATATTTTTATTTAGAAATTTTTATTATTATGCTAACCTTTAGACTTTTTTCCTTAAAAAAAAATGTCCTAAAATGTATTCCATATTTTAAGAGTTTGTTAATAAGTCTGAGTCCCAACTTTGTGCAGAACATTCTCCAAACTGGAGATGATGATGATGATGTAGAGAAATACTGAACTCTTTATGTGTATGTCAGAATGTCTAGAATATACTGTGGAAACAAGGAGCTTCAGTTCTTAGTGGCTTCAGTCAATAGGGATGTATTTCTCACTCATGCTACACTTTTAGGATGGGCCGGTGGAGGAGCTGTACAACATCTACACCTGGCTGAGGGAGCTGTCTCTCTGTCCTCCCGTACTTGTCAAGGGAGGAAGAGGACAGCAGGGTAGACAGTGCTCTAGCTTTTTAAAATCAACTTGAGCCGGGATCGGTTTGGCTCAATGGATAGAGCGTCGGCTTGGGGACTGAAAGGTCCCGGGTTCGATTCTGGTCAAGGGCATGTACCTTGGTTGTGGGCATATCCCCAGTAGGGGGTGTGCAAGAGGCAGCTGATCATGACTCTCTCTCGTTGATGTTTCTAACTCTTTATCTCTCTCCCTTCCTCTCTGTACAAAATCAATAAAATATATTAAAAAAAAATCAACTTGACTGAAGGAATGGGGTGAGTGAGGAACTAGGCACAACTGGGCTGACCAGTGTTATTTCATTTGATATTTTTAACAGTCACATGCAGTAGAATCCTTAGGTATAGCTTTACGGGTGAAGGAGCTAAGTTTCAGGAAGATCACTTGGTGTTTGAATCCAGGTGTGTCTGACTCTGGTCTTTGCTTTTTAAAGAACTCCAGTCCAGCTTTCAGCTAGAACATGAAAAAGGTCTGAGAATCTAATGTATAACATGGTGGTTATAGTTGATAATCATGTAACACTGTGTTACATGATTGAAATTTGCTAAGAGATTGGAACTTAAATATCCTCACCAGAAAATGAAGATAAATATATGATGTGATGGATTTATTAATTAACTAGATGGGAGGAATCCTTTCACAGTGTTTGTGTACAGTATTTCAAATCATCATGATATTGTTTTAAATATCTTATAATTTTGTCAGTTACACCTCAGTAAAGCTGAGGAAAAAAATGCCCATGCACAAAAGAGAAATTGCAGCCCTGTATGTGAGAAAATGAGGAAGGGAAAGTAAGTTGGGAATTCCAAAATTTAACTGTAGGTAATAGGGAGCCATTGAAAATTTTACATAGTTACATTGTCTCTTGGTTAGAAAAATAACCTTGGCAACAAGAGGGAAGATGGTATGTAGGAGGCATATATCCCATTTGTCATTTAAAAAAATTGATTTCAGAGAGGAAAGAAGAAGGAGAGAAAGATAGAAACATCAAAGATAAGAGAGAATCATTGATCTGTTGCCTTCCACATGCTCCCCACAGGAGATAGAGCCCAAAAGAACTGGTTTGTGCCCTAGCTAGGAATCAACTATGACCTCTTGGTTCATAGACCAATGCCCAACCACTGAGCCACATTGGCAGACACCTTATTTGTCTCGTTACAGGGACCAGAATGAAAACCCAAGTGATTTTTTTTTCAATCAAGAAATAGTATTTGCCTAACTTTCAGTTTCAAGTTATTCAATCCCAGAACCAGAAAGAACTTCAAAGTCATCTATTCCAGTGTCTTCAATTTATGGGTCTAAAATGACATGCCAACAGGCAAATTTGACATCTAAGATTATACTATTGGGAGACAATAGTCTTTTTTGCTAACAAAAGAAGGTAAATACCTATGGTAGGTTCCATTAGCTAGCAACCAAGTGTTACACCTCTGATTGGAAAATGTCTTTGTGGTCCATTCATGTTGTTGCATGTATCAATAGTTTCTTTAAAGTTTTAAAAAATTTATTGGCTAGAGGCCCGATGCACTAAATTCATGCAAGGGCTTGGCCCCTGCCTCCTTGGTGGCTGCCTCTACCTTGCCCCTCCCTACTACAGCAGCCCTCACAGCCCAGGCTTCTTTTTGGAAGGTTGTCTGGAAGGACATCTGGTCTGATTAGCATATTATGCTTTTATTATTATAGATTTGAGAGAGATAAACATAGATTTGTTGTTCTACTTATTAAAACATTAATCAGTTCATTATTAAAACATTTATACAAAGTGGATTTGGAAATTCTGCTCTTATTTATTTATTTTTATTTATTTCTCGTTATTAAAACTATCTCGAGGATATTTTTCCATTGCTTTTTCAAAATATATATTTTATATTTTTAAAATATATATTTTTAAAAATATATATTTCATTGATTTTTTACAGAGAGGAAGGGAGAGGGGTAGAGAGCTAGAAACATCGATGAGAGAGAAACATCGACCAGCTGCCTCCTGCACACTCTCTACTGGCGATGTGCCCGCAACTATTGTACATGCCCTCGACTGGAATCGAACCTGGGACCTTTCAGTCTGCAGGCCAATGCTCTATCCATTGAGCCAAACCCGTTTCGGCTCCATTGCTTTTTCGAAATAGTGGAGGGAATGGGGAGAAACTTCTAGAGAGAAACATGGAAGTGAGAGGATTCATCCATTGGTGTCTCCCACAGAGGCTGGGACCAGGGCTGTGGGTGGAGCCTGGAATTGAACTTAGTACCTTTCAGTCTGAGGGCCTATGCTCTATCTACTGAGCCAAACTTGGTAAAAAATAAATAAAATATATTTAAAAAAAAATCTATCCTATTATGGGGGATGTCTTATTTTTGATTCACAAATTTCTGTGTGTGTGTGTGTGTGTGTGTGTGTGTGTGTGTGTATATATATATATCTAAAAGCCTAAGTGACCATCATGACCCAACGACCAGAATAACCGGTTGCTATGATGCATACTGACCACCAGGGGGCAGATGCTCAATACAGGAGCTGCCCACTGGTGGTCAGTGCGCTCCCTCAGCCAACCTCCTGTGGCCCACTGGTGTCGGCATCCAAT